TTAATTATTCATATTTCCCCATGAGCTGATTCGCTACATTATCAAAACTTTTCTGAAGACAGTCGGTTCCAGATATAAAACACCCGCACCGCGTTTAGAATTTGAAATTCGCAGTGCTCATGTTTATTCAACGAAATCAAACGCCACAAATAAATCAATGTATGGGAAACGCTGGTAATGTATATCCAAATATCGGAAATGTGTTTAAAAATCATATCACCATTACTGAAAAAAATTATATCGCGATACATATTGATATTGAATTATTGTCCAGCCCTACTTATAAATATCACGATACATATTGATATTGAATTATTGTCCAGCCCTATCTTTGCATTAATGATATTAACAATGATATTAAACAACCAAAGTCATAATAGACCTGCTTATTAAAACATACCATCTACAGGAAAGATGAACACAATGCGCAGTTTCAAGTTAAGTGATTTCCTTTCAGAGAAAATTGCTTTAAAGATAACACTTAAAGTAAGACCAAATTCAGTGTACAGTTTTTTAATAAAACATAAAGGCAAGCAAACGAGCCCAGAATATGAACGCAGCGCACAAAGTTTTATGCCAAACTTTTCTTTATAATAGTCAATGCCGTTTTCAGTGGATAGTGTTTATGAAAAGAGAAATATGTGAGAAAATCCCTGGTTTCACGTTTTTAAGAGATTGTGCTTTTGATTTAGAAATCGTGCATATTCACATCTTGCTTTAATTAAGATCCTGCTTAATCACACAGCACCTTAAAGCAAGATATTTAGAAGCACATGAAACTATCCTGACGTTTGTTTATCTGGAGCACTCCTGCATGCTGTCATTGCTCACCTGAAGCTCGTCGTCCTCCTGCTCGTCCTCATTGTGTTGTGGTTCAGTCCTGGTTACGGTGGGAAGAGTGTGCTCGACTATCCGTTCCGCTCGCACTTTAGAAAACTTGTCGACCAAGCGATCGTCTTGTGAGCGCTTTGCTCGCATCACCTCGCTGGCGTTCATTTTGTTGTTGGAGTTGATTTCAAAAATAGTCTGAGAAAATAAGAATATGCAGATCATCCAATAACCATCTGAACTGCATTATACATATGATTTAGACAGCACCAATGAACCTTAACACACGCCCATATGCCAAGTCTTCTGAAGTCATATGCTAACTTTACACAGGGAATGAACGCCTTTGGTAAGGATCATCCACCTGAGCTCTCAAACCTCAATTGATCTTCAAGACATCAGAAGACATTCAGGGTTTCTGTGGGTCTTAAGCAGTCTTAATTCACCCTTTCATAAAAAGGCCTTTAAAAGCTCTTCATGCATCACTGAAGAATCAAAGTGATGTTGAACATGATGAGTAAATGATGACAGAATCATAATTTTGAGCCTTCAAAGAAAGATGCATGATGTTTCATGTTACTGACATAAGATGAACAAATGAATAATAAATTACGTACAGATTTAGCCTTGTAGCCCTTGATGGTGTCCACCATCAGCAGCCGGTCCAGTTCCATCGGCTCCAGTCCAGAACCTGAATGACACACAGCAGCTCAGAACAGACATTCAGCAGGACGTCCCATACGCTTACAACAGGAAGTGGAGAGCCACACTCACCCAGCAGAGGGTGAACAGCTATCGAGGAGAGGTCGGTATTCTTGACGCGTTTGATGGATTCGGGCGAGGGGTTCGGCCGAGACTTCAGGTACTGCTTGTATGAGTTCTCTGAGATGCGCCGGAGATTCTGAAGATCCAGCGAGTTCTCATGAGCCGTCAGCAGCTGAGACTCTTCATCGTCCAGGATGCTCTGAGGAACGCAGCCGAATACGTCATCAGAATCTGAAGACCATCAGAAACAGAGGACGTTTAAAACAGGCAACGGTTTCTAAAGCTCAAGTTTACTTCGCTTGTTAGGGTCAATGTCTTCAAAGGCACAGGACCACTGTCCTGGATTGAGTGGATTCTGTGCACAAAAAACAAAGGTCGACTAGGCAGTGCGCGCCTGCTGAACATGTTCATCCTCAC